TGGGGGGATAAATGTGCAGACATAAAACAAGTGCCAGCTGTCGAGAACAAAATGAAGGACTTGAAAGCAAGTAGAAAGCTCTAGAATATCTGGTTAAAAACTCCAGTGGGTGAGAAGGACTCACTGGGAAAGTGAACCAGAAATTTAAACTTATTTGATATTTATTTATTTAGTTAGTTATTTGAGACAGTTTCATTATGTAGTCCTGGCCAGTCTAGAATTCTCTATACAGACCAGACAAGCCTCAAATTCACTACAATCTCCTATCACTCAAATGCTGAGTGACTTACCTTATTAGGGGCTTATTTGTCGAGTAAGGGAAGTTCAGGGCAAAGACAAGGTTGGGGTGGCAGCTGTAAGATGTCATCAGGGACCAGGGCTCCTGCTTTCTCCTTCATCATCCCTAGCAGATGGTGTTTGTTTTCACACTTGTATCCCCAGCTAACCGTGTCAGCAGTTCTGCAGGAAAGAACGCTCAGTCCTCCTTTCTCAGCCCCCTGCGTGCTGGGCTGGCAGACCAGCCACACCTAGCTGGGATTTGTCTCTAATTCCTGAGACTCGCTGCCTTTGTCTCACCAGCTCTGTCTCCAGAACTCTGTGGGGATCACTGCCTGCGCCAGAGACTCTGGGGAAAACTGGTTTCTGCAGCTGAGCAAAGGCACTCTCGGTGGGATTGGTTATGGGTAAATCGCTGTTGTCTGCAATGGCTTCTCAGTGTGTTTGGGTGAAAACAAGTGTGAGCTGCATGTGCTGTCTACCTATGGATGAATTGACATAGATGGGGTCACCGATGTGGTCCTGCAATTTACCCCAGCAATGAAAAGGAAAAAAAAATACTGCATGTAAGGTGTGTTTCATCTCGGAAAATTTGAAACTTGGGGAGAACAAAATGCTTCGCGTGATCTCAAATACTGTTTATCTCTGTAGTCTAGTGTCCTGTCCAGCACATCCTGTTGTCACCTGGGGCCCACCCATCAGGCTGGGTGTTCTCTGGGCCCTGCCTCCCGTGCAAGCCTGAGCCCCACAGTTGCAGACCACGCTCTGCAGTTTATAAACAGCCCGTGCGCTGTTACTCATCTTCCTTCCTGCGGCCAGTGTCACATCCTCTGCGATACATGGTCCTGTGCATAGAGTTCCCCTGCCCTGCATGTTTGGTTAACTCACTGGAGTGTTGTCGAATCTTTTATGGTCTCCCATTTCTTCTTTCGCTTTAGTGAAAGTAACCTAGAGGTCAATGACAACATGCTTCGAGCTGTCCTCCTGTTAGCTGGGGACACTTTCCTGCCCCTCAGGCAGTTCTCTGTGTGACTCTAGTCTGTCCCCCGACTGTCTCTTAAAACATATTTCTCTCCTAAGCTTTCTGACTCATCTCACAATTTTAATTTTAGAGTAAAGCCCTGGCTCCCACTGTCCTCTCGAGTGGTTTTTAATCTCCAGTCCCTCCCATCTCCCATGCGTCTCCTCACTTGGTCCTCAGTGTCCCAATACTTCCTGTTACTTTCTTACATGACCTTCAGGAGTTTTTCTTTTCAATATAACAAATATGTTCCCAGTTTTCTTCATTTTTTTTTAGTGAGCCTGATCTATGCTTTCTAAAACTGACTGGTCAGTCTTGTAGATCTTTCCAGAATGGTATTGACAATTCCTAAAACAGGGCTGCTTGTGCTTCTGTCCCTGCCTTGTTCTTAAGCTGCACAGAAGGAAAAGCATCTCTTTGAAGCCCAGGGTTGGCTGTGCCTCTTAAAATACAGATGTCTCTGTGCTGGTCAGTTTTATGTCAACTTGACACACACCAGTCACCAGAGGAGGGAGCCTCAGGGGAGAAATGCCTCCCTCCATAAGATCAAGCTGTAGGCAAGCCTGCAGGGCATTTTCTTAATTAGCAATTGATGTGGAGGGCCCAGTCCATTGTGGGTGGGGCAACCCCTGGGTTCTTTAGAAAATCAGAGTGAACAAGCCAGTAAATGGCACCCTCCATGGCCTGCGCATCAGCTCCTGCCTCCAGGTTCCTGCCCTGTGTGAGTTCCTGCTCTCACTGCTCTTGATAGACTGTCATATAGAACTGGGAGGGAAATGAACCCTCTCTGTCCCAAGTTGCTATTGGTCATGGTACGTCATCACCACACAACCCTAACTAAGGCTCTCTCTTAACTTACATTCTATGCAGTGCTCTGTCGATCATCACTGTCATCTGGGAGCTCTCCCTTCATTTCTGAGCATTGTCAGTGTCAGTGATGTCCCTGAGTTTTAGTATTCTAAGTCACTTCCTCACAGCTTTGAGGCCCTTATAAAGAGGGAGGGTGTTGAGACCTAGCCACTCTGAGACCTGTGAACTGCTGTGGCCTTGTTGAAAGCAGGTTAGCATGGGTCCATTATGAACCTGTTCAGTTTGGCAGTTGAGTTTCACCCATAGAGCCCGCTGTGATAGTGCATGCCAGTGGGGTGCACTGAAGAGGCATAGGACTTTCTTACCTGAAGTAGCATCGGGAGATACACCAGGGACACTTAACAAAGATGCCCTTGGTTTAACCATTCGTGTCCCCCTCAAATGTGTGTTAAATCTGATGCCTAATGTGATGGAATTAGAAAGCTGTTGGGAGGTGAGGAAGAGATCACTGCCCTTAGGGATGAGGCCCCAGGGAGCGGCCTGGCCTCTTCTACCAAGTGGTTCCATCTGTGACTCAGGAAATGGGCACTGGCCAGATACCTGTTCCGTAATGCTTTGACCCTGGCCTTCTCGGCTTCCAGAATGGTGAGAAACAAACCTCCCCCTTTTCATAAATCACAAACATTTCGTTATAGCAACTGTAACAAACAGACTTAACAAGGGAGTTCATTGTTCATAGCAGAGTGCTGTTGTAACAGCAAAAGTTACAGATCGACCAAAAGAGCCAACATGACAATGTGCCTAAGTACATTACCTGTACAGAAGATACAACGCTGCAGCTCATGACACACAAAAGTGTCCAGCCAAGGTGCTTCAGGCAGCATCTGTTGGTGTCGAGGAGGCTATGATGACCTTCACAGAGCATCCTGAGAGCACTGTGTGTTTAGAACCCAGGCGGCAGTGAAGTCACACAGTGATGTCATTGACCTAATGGGTCATGCTATCAGGAACATCTCAGCTTCATTATATGTTGGGTTTTAAATTAATATTTGGCATCTTGCCAGTTCAAAACCTTTTATTATTTTTTGCCACTCCTACTCCTCCACCCCCAGTAATCAGTTGTGGGGCCCCATATGAGGGGTGGGTCACTTTTAAGATGCTGGGCTCTATTCCTGTCCTCTGGATTTTAGCCACCAAGTTAATAGGCATATAGGGTACTGCTTTATGATCTCAAAGCATGGACCTTTTTGTAGTTAAGAGGCTGGGTCATGAGTGTACCTGCCCAGAAGTGTGCTCGGTCCCTCGGGGTGGCGTGAGGGGGGTTACAAAATAAGGATATAAGGCAGGAGGATGGCACCGAGTGTTTTAATAGAATGCACATCAGCTGTGCGAGACCTTGATCAAACACTGGGGTGTGGGGGGACAGCAACTCACACTAAGAATGCCGGGGAAAGGTAGTAGGAGATTTATTTAGACACAGAGAAGTAACTTACATGGGAAGCTGGGGAGCTCTCAGAAATGTGGCCCGTGTTCAAGGAGAGAATGCCAGGCAGCCCTCTCTCCCTTTTTATTCCCCTCTCCCTCGGTGCCTGTAGCCATGCCCGTTAGCCTGTAGCCGTTGGGGCGTGGCTAAAGCTGCAGGTACATCTCTCCCTACAATGGGGAAAGTACTCTTAACTGTAAGGCAGAAGCAATAAATCATCTTGGTTCTCAAGCAGAATGAGTAATCCTCCCCCCAGTTGGAGTTTCAAAACAATACAAGCACATTTCTGAAAGGTGGTATCCAGCGTGAGGGAAAACGGCCACCTTTTTCAGAAATGAAACATGGCTTCAGTGAAGAAATGGAGAAGCTATTATCATTTGGATTTATAACACCACACAGTAGTTCTCAAACCCACATCAAAAAAAAAAAAAAACAACAACATGATGTGCTATTTTACCAGCATTTAATCTGCATCTGTATAACCTCACCATCCTGTCCGCATTTATGGACTCAATGATGATAGAGCTGTTTGCTTACAGCCTATTACAGATGAGCAACCTCAGGGTCACGCACATTGGTGACTCCTAAGGGGTATTTGGGGGATGGTGCCGGAGGAAATCTGTGTGAGCGTTTGTTCTTCAAGCTTTGGGCTGTTCATTCCTTACATTTTACAAAATGCATCTTCTCCAGTCTCTTAGAAAAGGCAACCATATTTTATGTTTAACAAGCTGCTGTGTTTAAGACATTGAATACTGGTGTTGCATGTAAATTAGTGGATACAAGCCATTCCACTGAGAAGGTCGCTAACATTTGATGCCACTGAAGCTGCTGAGGAGCACTCCTGACCCCTAGTGACTGGAGAGGGAACGTGAGGGTCGGAGGAATAAAAAAGGGTTAAGACTGAAAGATGTTTGTGGGTTAGTCTCACCTAGAAGTGAGGAACAGCATTTCCTGTCGCAAACCAAACTGATGAAAGATTATTTCCCGGTCGTGATTATAGCTTTGATATCTGAGAGGAATGAAAATGTGGCCCTCACTGGTCACCCAAGTCCATCTCAGATGGGATATACATGGCCCTGAGCGGAGGGAGCTTTACTGATGTAAATGGCAGCTTCTAGCAGGGGGACAGATGGGGGCTGGCCGTGGCCTGCAGAGAGCTAAGTGAGAATCTCATCTCGCCTGTCACCACGTCCTCTGTCCTTGGCAGGCAGGCAGAGTTGAGTGTCAGCCTTCTGTGATGTCTGGGTGGAAGAGTCACTGCATTGGAGCTGGCTCAGCCCTGGCCTCGGCATGCAGTGAGGGCGGCTGTGCGCATGCCCTCTGACCAGGGGGGGAGTCTAGAATGGGTTAATCTGTAGAGCACTCTGATTGCCTCAGGTAAGCATTTCCCTTTGTTTGTCTCCTCTCTAGATCAAGAAGAAGCAGCAGGATGTGGTTAGATTTCTGGAAGCCAACAAGATAGAGTTCGAGGAAGTGGACATCACCATGTCTGAGGAACAGAGGCAGTGGATGTACAAGAACATTCCCCCTGAGAAGAAGCCTGCGCAGGGCAACCCTCTGCCACCTCAGATATTTAACGGCGACCGATACTGTGGAGTAAGTTGCTGCACCGCTCCCACACTGTCCCTTGGTTACCCACAGCATGCTAACCCGGAGTGTGTTTGCATCCTTTACAGTAAAGGCAGTAACTTCATGCCACTCCTGCTCAGGGGCCTAGGCCTCACAGAGGGTGAAGCTCCCAGCAGTTAGGAATTCGGCGTCACAGAGCGGGTTGCTGGAGAATTGTGTGGTGCGTAACGGAGCTCAAGGGTGTCTGTCAGTCATCCGTCCTGTCCCTTTCCTTGCTCTGGAAGGGGAGTGGAGAGTATGTGTATATTGTGTTCTGACTTTTCAAGCATGTCTCTCCATTAAAACATTTGTGGGCCAGATTGAAGAGGTAATTATTCTTGAATCATTTTTCCTCACGGATAGCTGATTAGAAAACAGAATTCATATTCAAAAAAGATTACCAACAGAGGGATTACTGTGAATATTTAAACTATGTTTTGGTGAAAGCAAAGTCCATTTTGTCTAGTTATCCACTTAGCTTATTTCTTAGGTTGAGACAAAAATCTGAGAAACTTCTTCCTACGGTATAGGTTGGGGTTTGGTTTTTACCACAGCTTTAAACTCCAGACGCAGTGTTTATTTTGGGGATGCAGTTCTTTCAAGGACCTATAGTGCCTGGGTGTTGCCGGTGCTGACGCCATTAAGTGCCTGGGTTGTCATTAGGGTGCAGAAAGGAGTAATAGTGTGTTTGGTGGCTGCAGAGGCATGGAAGAGAGTGGGAGATCAGAGCGTAAGTGAGTGAGTCACCAGTGCACAGCCGTGTCAGCAGAGGGACGAGCCGAGTCCCGCACCGTGCCACCATGCATAGCCGTGTCAGCAGAGTGACGAGCCGAGTCCCGCACCGTGGCACTTGTCTGCCTCCTGTTGTGCGTGGCACCTGTGGGAAGTTCCTTACCACCGTAAGCCTCAGTCTTCTGATGCTTAAACTCATACGTACTGAGCTCCCCATCTTGCCCACCTCTCAGGGAGTGGGACTGCAGGTGTGAGCTACCATCCTGTTTTTCAAGTGTAGTGCCAGGAGTCACCCTCCTCTTCTGCCACGGGAATACACACACCAGCTCCAGTTGGGTTGTGACTGTTTCCAAAACTCAAGTATATATTTATTAATCAAAATCCACCTAACTGACTCATTTTGGCTGATAAGAAATGTTTGCTTCCTCTGTGGTGTAGCAATCTGGTCCTCAGAATTCAGCGGATTCTCTGAAAACTCTCCTTATCCTGTTATTCTCCCAGTGTTTCCCTGTAAGAAGTTGTGGGGATCCTTGGAGTGATGCTTGGTTGGTGAGAGTCTAGCTAATGTGACGGGTGAGCCCAGCTTGTTCTGCTTCTGAAGCGTTGGTTGTGACGGGTGGCAGGGCATTGCTGTGGGGAATTGGATCCTTCAGCCTGTGGACAGTGCGGGAAAGCCTTGCGGCTCGCCACGCATCTCCTCCATTTGCAGAGCTGCCTTTCAGGTGTGAAGGTCCCACCGTATTCCTCTGTAGTGGATCAGGTGGACCGAGACTACCGACAGTGACCGTGGCCCCTTCTGTTCTGCCATGAACTTGACTTTGGAACATGCTTCAGAGCTTTCCCGTCGAAATGCTAAGCTGGCCGTCAATTGCTTTCGGTCATTGTATGACCTTGTTTGCAAAGGGTATTGAAGTGTCATCTAACTGTTCATTATCAGTTCCTGGACAAATGTGTTTGTTATGTTAGAAGTTGTCTCTGCTCCTTAACCATTCATTCTAAACTGAAGAAATAACCTGAATTTGCTTTTTGTCTGTATAATCTAAGTAAAATAGACATTCAATAATAAATCATTAGCAAAAGAGAAGAAGAGAAAAATGGGCATTAAAGTTATGTGTAACATAACCACATTATTTAAGAATGTATTCCAATATCAAATGACAAATTGTACCAGTGCAAAAGCTACAGTGATTTTTGCACCAATCAGCCCAGTAAAATATTATGTCAGAAAGCCTAATACAAAAGCCAGCAACTGTCTTTCCCTGAGATGTTGCTGGTATGAAAAGGCTTTTGTTTTGTTTGTTTGGCTTTTTGTGGAGTCATTTCTAGGCATAGAATTTTAGGTGGTGAAGAATTGTGACTGTTGCTTCATTATTATCTGGTTTCCAGGGATGTAACTCAGATGTCAAATGCCTTTTCTGGGGTCCTGTGGGTGTTTGTCAGTTTCTACTATGCTTGTTGCTTGTGCAATCCAAGGTTGCTTGGTGAATCACCAGTGAATGAAGTATTTTCCAAAGCTCATTGTTGAGTGCTCAAGGAATTGTAAGTGTGACTTATATACTCTTCTAGTATTTCCTTTGAAAACTTTCCCCTTGTTCCCTTTTCCTGAGTGCCCCTTCAGTTGGGCATTGGGCTTTTAAGATTGGTTTTGTAATATTTATCTTTTCCTTCATTTTCTTTAAGTTTTTGTTTTCTGAAGGGGATTTCTTTAATTTGTATCTTAATCTTTTTAGGGTATATTATTTTACACACACCTCTTTCTGTTCTGTTTTTCCCCCCTTTTAAGTGATATGTTTTATGGTCATAACTCAGTGAGTTTACTCAGTATAATTTCTTTGAAGTTTTTTTTGTAGTATCTGTTGTCCTTGTCTACACTGATCTCCCCCCACCCCCGCTGCTGCCCACTTCCTCTTTCCTGGTTTTCTTCTCCTGTCCCTTTTTACCTGCTCTCCCTTTTCCCTCTCCCTCGTTTTCTTCTTTCTCCTCCTCCTCCTCTCTCTTGTGTCTGGGTGCTTGGATTGGGCTGAGGGCCTTGCACTGCCTGTGAGTGACGTGTGCATCCCCACCCCAGCTTGTTTGGTTGGTTCCCCGCTCCCCAATGCTTAGTTCATATATATATATATATATATATATATATATGTTCATATATAGACATCTGCTCCTGTGTCTATGTGTGAATGTAGGTTGCTTCCTGGTCTGCTTCCTGTGGGTTCTGGTACAACATCTGTAGGTCTTTTCTTAGATGACACTATCAGAGAATGATCCCTCAGTCTCTCGTTTTGGTAGTGTCATCCTGTTCCCAGTGGTTTCCAACCAGCAGAGCGAGGGAATGGTAAGGTCTCTGTCTTCATTTTATGTCAAATTTCTTTCCTCCCCCCCACTCTCTTCAGTGTCCACATTTGTGAAGCTTTTGCTTCCAGACGCCATGTCTGTTCAGTATCCCCTTTAACTCTTTGGAGGAGAGTGAGCACCTTGGGTCATCTCCACTGCCGGGACCCTCCACAGTAGCTAGTGTATCCACTGAGCGTGGCCTGGACACTGGCTCACTTCTGCTGGTCGTGCCAATGCACACTGAGCCATCGCTCTTCTCTGCGCCCTCAGCCATCACCCTCTCTCCCTTCATTCATTGCCTGCCCGTGTTGAGGTTTAGACTGTCGATGCTTCACGATGTGTCAAAAATGAGCTTCTGTTTCTGGTTTTAAACTCCTTGTTTTGTTGACCTTTTGAGAGAAAAGATGTAGGCCACAGGGCTTTGTACTGGGTGAATCAAAGACTGTCGTGTAAAATAAGGTGTTAGCCTAATTCTTTTACCCCTTTCTGACATCTAAGCCTTTGCTCCACAGAGTGCATGGCACTTCTTCAGGCAGGCTGTGTGGGAGCTGGCCTCCATCTTGATTAAACTGTGCCAGATCAATGGCTGCTCCTCCACCCACCTCAGCAGCAAAAGTCCCAGGTGGAGGTGACAGCAGCTGCTGCCTGGTGTCCTGTCACCTGACTGCTAGGGACCAGGAGTGGTAAAGATGATGTCTGCTCTTATCAAGGGCAAATGATGAGCTCCACAGAGCATCAGAGAGGCAGCTGACAGTGAGCTTCATCTCTCCACCTACTTGTGTGCACCTTGTTTCCAGTGGTGGTTTATGAGGGTCTCATCTGGTTGGCGAGTGACAGGATCTCAACAGTTTAGAGCCTGCTATACCCAGGATTACCTGAAAATGCCCTACTCCATTTTAAGTTGGATAAAACCTAGAGTAAGCCCCTCCTAAGCAACTTGGTAACCAGTGTGGGCACGTGCCTCCCCTGTTTAGGGTGTGGATGTCCTGTGTCCTGGGGATTCCCAGCTGCTTGAACAACAGGCACTTCCTCCCTGGAACGGGTGCTCCTTATGTGTTATGGATGGTGGTCCTTCAGCAATTCCTGGTCTGCTGGTATCTTCTTTGCCTTTTCACATTGTTGATGCTGCTCTTCAGGGAGTGAAAGTTTTCCACTTTGATGTACCAATTGACCATTCTTTGAATCTGTCATCTGTACAGATGTATGGCTTTTCCCTGGGCTTTCTTACAGAGGCCCATGGTTTGGGGTTAAATTAGACCCTTGTTATTCTGAGCTAATTTTTGTCTGTACTGGAATGTTGGGGTCTAATTATACTTTTCTTGCACAAAGACACTAAGTCTTTCCAGTACTGTTATTTAAGGAAGCCATCCTTTCCCTATTGAGTGACATGTGTCTGTCGTTAGCACATAATTCAAGGTTTCTTTTTTTTTAACCTCTGTTATGTACCACTAGCTAATATAGCCAATATATTTTTTTCTTCTCACCAGTGTCATATTATTGTTTTGATTATCATGGTTTTGCAAAATAGTTTGTTCAGGAAGTATCTTTTTCCAAGTGTGTTGGCTATTTCTGCTCCTTTCTGTTTCTAGGGAGAAAAAAACTACTCTTGGGATTTTAGTAGAGATTTTTCTCCATTACTAGTTTGCAATGGGTAATATTCACACCTTAACAAAATTAAGTGTTCCAGTCTGTGAATGCAGAATTTGCAGTTGCTGGTTTGCTCTAGTTTTCAGTGTATAAGTCTTCACCTTCCAGGCGAGGTCCATTAGGAAACACACACAGAATACATTCTGAGGCTGTTCCCAGCCTTCTTTACAGGTCTTCCATATTTGCTGTGTAGAAATGCAGCTGACTGTTCCTGTGTGCAAACGCAAAGGTGACTGTTCCTGTACGCAAACGCAGCTTACCATTTTGTGCTGATTTTGTGT